GCTCATAACAATGTTTGAAAATTTAACTACCTTATCACCCTAAAGGAAATGTAATGAATACATCTCATATACATTATCTACTGGTAGTCTTGAAAGTTTACTTGTAAACGAAAAATAGTTGATACTCAACCGCTCGCAACTATGGAGGCAGATCATAGATATGAAATCCAAGAGAGCGTGGCCTCTGGTTTTGCGGCCGACGGTGAGCCGAGGGCTTCTTCGCACAATTAAGCAGTCTTACCTACGGAGAAATCCTCCTTCGGTTTCCGATGCGACCACATTACGAATTTCTTTCCAATCAACTTTCCCTTCGAAATGGAGATTCATGCCACAGTATTCACTCAAAGAATTCTTCGAAACCCAGTTTACCTTCATACCTTTGAAGTCGGTACGGCTTTCATTCTTTTGGAAATTCGTCATTATACACAAAAATCAAGAAATCGTTGGCCAGGCAAGTCAATCACATTACCGTTTATCTTGATTTAGTATACTTTTGCTCTATTTCGTAAAACATGGCATCTTGCTCTGATGATGTCCGTCACAATGCAGACGTAAACTTAGTACAGTTTCATCGGGGTCACAGGACGGTGAGCGGAGAACTTCTTCGCACAATTCGACAGTTTTTCCTACGTGACAATCCTCCACGAATTCATTCCAGCCAGCTTTCCGTTGGAAATGGAGAGCCACGCCACAGTATTCACTCTGCTTCGTTCAAGGTAAAAAAGGGACTGGTAGTTAAATTTTCCCACAATGATATGAGCGGACCTTACGTTTCCACTGGATTTCACAGCCTTGGTTTTCCCGAAGGGTATACTCAAAGTCTACTCATACGATTGTGGAAGGATTCCACTACCAGTCCCCTAAGGCGTCAAACCTAAATTCGCCAGCTGGAAGAGTGCGGTATATTGCCTCCCTAAGTTCTGGTGCATTGGTTTATCCCTCCAGGCACAACCTGACAAGAATTTGATGAAAGGATTTGCAGACTGAAAGAGCCAATAGAATATAGGAAGAACAAAATGTTGTTATGGTCGCAGTCTCCTTTCGATTTATAAAAGTGGGTTGACCTCGTTGTCGCAACTTGGTCTTGTGTTTAGGGAGCTATGTAGAACGCACCGAGTCCGAAGTCGTCTGCCATAGTAGTTGTCATGATTCCCAGCATCAGATAGTGGACTTGGTACATTCTCAAGCGTTTCGCCGGCATCGTAGTCGGCATCATCAGTGAGTTTTGTTATTCTCC